AGCGATAAAGAGAGAGAACGAGAGAGGAGCATTGAAGAGAGAAAGAACGAGAAAGGAGCGATAAAGAGAGAGAACGAGAGAGGAGCATTGAAGAGAGAAAGAACGAGAAAGGAGCGTTGAAGAGAGAGAACGAGAGAGGAGCATTGAAGAGAGAAAGAACGAGAGAGGAGCGATGAAGAGAGAGAACGAGAGAGGAGCGTTGAAGAGAGAGAATGAAAGAGGATCGATGAGGAGAGAGAACGAGAGAGGAGCGATAAAGAGAGAGAACGAGAGAGGAGCATTGAAGAGAGAAAGAACGAGAAAGGAGCGTTGAAGAGAGAGAACGAGAGAGGAGCAATAAAGAGAGAGAATCGAGGAAAAAGCGAAAGAATCGAGGAATGAAAGAGAGAGAGAATCAAGGAAAGAGAGAGAGAGAGAATCAAAGAAAGAACGGGCGCGAGATAGAGAGAGAAAGAGCGAGAAAGAGAGAGAGAGAGAGAGAGAGAATCAAGGAAAGGGAGAATCGAGCAAAGAGAGAGAGAGAGAGAGAGAATTAATGGAAGAGAGAGAGAGAATCGAGGAAAGAGAGAGAGAGAGAGAGAGAGAGAGAGAGAGAGAGAGAGAGAGAGAGAGAGAGAGAGAGAGAATCGAGGAAATCGGCAGAGAGAGATATAAGCGAGAAAGAGGACGAGAGAGAGATATAAGTGAGAAAGAGGGCGAGAGAGAAGTGAGCGTGAGAGAAAGCAGCGAGCGTGTTTGAGAGAAAGAAAGGCCAAGCGTGAGAAAATGGGTGAGATTGCACAAGAATATCACGGAAAACGCTGTCAATGTACGTTGACGTCTTTCTACATGACTCAATGAATAATGAAGAAACCCAGTCTTAGCCATCAAACAGGATGGCATACTCCGCATTAGGACTGATCAGTTAGGAGAAGGCGGAATTCGGTTATGCCTGCACATTACGGATGCTGCGAGAAAGGTGTGCTATGATGAGAGCCAGTTAGCACAGTAGACACCGATGTTGTGGTCATTCTTAACAACATGGACACACAAACGGCAAAGTTACGCCATATTATTTAGCTTTGGTTAGTATTTGGCAAGTGCATGAACATTCGCCACATTCATATCCATCATTAATGGTATTAAATTCGTCGACAAGGGCGATTCTATTCTTCTTATGTCTTTACCGAGTCGATGTTTTTCGATTTAGATCCTGTGCATTACGTGATTACATAATACCAACTCACATCAGAAATTAATATATCACGAAATGGTTGCAATTGTCTTTAGCTAACCATCTTTTTTGAAACACAAGTTTGAACACAATCTTTTCCCGTTCTACTGAAAATATCTCGCACGCTGTTCCAACGGGGAGAGGAAAGAGTGGTCGTAGGCCTCCTCGTTCTGTACCTGGCGGATTTTTGCCACGCAGTCATGGCGCACTTTGTGCTTAAAATACAGTCGAGAAAGCGAATGAGCACAGATCCCAGCTCATAAATAAACGTAGATAATTTTACGTTCACAAGCCAAACTAGAAAGACGGCACACGGGGAGTGCGAATCCCCCGCACACGCGATCACTACACCTGTGATATCAGTACGCTATTTTACAGCGCGGTGAAATAAATCGATATCAGAATACACTCTGGCACACACAACACGCCTGGAAATACCGCCTGGAACCCTCGCCCCGCATTAGCAATGGTAGGGCCTACGGTCCTTCTGCTATGACCCAGCGTTGGTTCTATACTTATCCTGCGGACGAAGCTAGTGTAGCTCTATAGAGATCAGTGTTCGAAATATACATAATGACCCTGTGACATTGACCTTGGGTCAAGGCCACTCAGAATCAATAGTTTTCTACCGCCCCATAAGATGCACCTGTGGACCAAGTTTGAAGTTTCTACATTCTACCGTTGCAACGATATCGAGCGGACAGACACACACACACACGCGCACCGCACGCACTGCACGCACGCACGCACGGCACGCACGGCACGGCAGGACACACACAACACATACACACACAAGCACAACAACACACACACACCACACACAACGCACGTCACACATCACCACACACACACACACACACAGCCACACACACACACTACACACACACAACCCATATATAATATATATATATATATATATATATATATATACAAACGAGCCAAAAACAATACCCTCCTACACTTCGTGGCGGAGGATAATGAACCTAGATTGAGCTTTGCCGCAGTAGTTGCCGTACATAATAGTCCATCACTGGCATCATAACATATGATATGCACAAGTTCAAACATTTGTCGTGCTGATAGCGAGCGAAGACCTTGACGGTTATCTGTTTTGCAACACACCCATTTCAGTACACAAAGTAATTGTTCATACATGTCCTGCATGGGACTGCGTGCGTATTGTAATCACTAGAGAATTATATGAGCAGTATAAGCAAAGTCCACGGTACGCGCATCACTTTGACGCCTCAATTTTTTACTTTACATGTCTAGCTGCTAGCTGCTACCCAGAAATACAGACATTTAAATTTCTTGGTAGGTATCACGATAATTAAGCATGTTTTGGCAATATTATATATAGTATATATATATATAATATTTATATAATATATATATATATATATATGGTGGTGGTGTGTGTTGGTGTGTGTGTGTGGTGTGTTGTTGTGTGTGTGTGGTGTGTGTGTGTGTGTGTGGCTGTCAGAGACTAGCCGTTTCTCAAAGTTGTAGGTCCCTACTGCAATAAAACAGTCGCAAAAGCAAGAACATAATTTAAACATATGATATATCGATTGTTAGCAGTATCTATGAAGAACTCGATGCCATCTGTAATTGTTTGTGTAGGGATCATTCAGAGAGATTTCGCTAAACGCACAAGGAAGGCCTTCTACTACTCGAAAACCTCGGATAAGATATATACATGACTCTTGCCAAAGCAGTAAGCGATGCGGCCGCTGGCCATGAACGAGGCATGCAGGTAGATCAGCCAACAATACACGCAACAAGGTGTGTTACATGTTTGTGTGAACGTATATCGTAAAATTACAGAAGTCCGAAATTCCGGACTGCTCGGGGATTGGTCGGTCCGGATTTTCGGATTTTCCGGATTCTCGGGCAGTATATTGAACT